TTTAAATTTTTTTTTTTTTTTTTTTTTTTTTTGTGTGGGTGCACCATGGTGATTAAGCTATAACATCACATATATGCAACAACTATCAATGATATACTTTCCCAAATCAAACAGAAACTTCTCTTTTATAGGGTGTAATTTAAGACTTTTTATGTTGTTGCCTTTTGATGGCAATTTATTTTACCTATTCTATATAACTGTCCTGTTATATAAGTGATAAGAGTTTGATTGGTTTTATTTCAATTGTTATATCAGGGCATATATGAAACGAAGGTATCACTGGAGTTCAATACTATTCTTCAGATTGGTTGTGTGTGTAAGGTGGATAAAACTGCTAAAAAGAGAAATATCCAAGATCGCTGGAGTTTGAGTGAACTGCAGATGAAAACTACAACTGCATGCTCTTATTTGGAGCAATCAATCTCTTTCTTTTACTTGTATCATAGGTAATATTTTAATACTAAGACAATGAGATTAATCCCCTTTTAGTGTTTTCGAGTAATACTTTCATACTCAACTTCGACTTGAGGCATCTTTGCTTCTTTACCTGGTTTCATCCTTTTTTTTTCTTTTTCTTTTTTCTTGTCAGGTTGTTTGCGCACCTTATTATCATTTCTTTCTTTTCTCTTTCTGTGTTTGATCCTTTTATTGGTTAGTGTTTAGGATATATACTCAAATGAGGTCTTTAAAGAATGATGCACTATATTGATAATGAAATACAAACTCTATTTACGTCCCAGAAAATGCTTCTTTTATTGTATGCCAGAATTTTAAAAAAATGGATTAGTCAATTCTGTTTATATTTAAATGAAACAAATATACATTTCATGCTCTTTTCCCTCTTAGTAAAAATGTTGGAAATATGGGCCAAGAAATGAAAAATAATTCATGGAATTGTATTTCCATATGTTTGAATATTTTACAAAATGAAATAAGGGAAAGTAAAATCCATGAACCCCTTATGGGAGAAAACTCGTGATTTTTGCTTTATCCAATTAAAGGGTGGAAATTTTGAATAAGAAAGGCGACATATCTGAATCCTTTTCCTACTTATTTGGCATGTTGATGCATCACCGCCTCTCACTCTCTCCCTGAGTTTTGAATGAGAGAGTTGGGGATCATTTCATGTACTTCCAGTGTTGCACTGTACAGTTTCTTAGAGTATCTTAGCATTCTTGTGTAGGGCATAGCTCTCAGGTAAAATGTTTTTCATCTACTCTTTTTTTTTTTTTTTGACAAGAGATATGCATTTTTATTCAGTTTCTATGTGTGTGAAAAAATGTGTGTATGTACGTCTCTGGGTGTGTGTGCATTGGAAATCATCTTTTTGGTTCACAAAACTTGAATCCTTGTGTTGTTAAATGTTTATAGTGACTGGTTTTTTTTTGCTGGCTGCATTATTTTGCTTCAATTTTTTTCTTTGGTTTCTCTTTCCTTTTTCTTTTTTCCTATTTTTAATTTTTTGGGTTTCTCCTTCCCTTTTTATTTCCCTGTTTATTTAGGAGCAACTCGCTCTACATCTCTATCTTGGGACTACCAAGAACCAACTTCATAAATCATCTCATAATTCATTTTGTTAATGTTTCAATATCCATTTATTTCTGTATTATCTATTAAACACTTTGAAATTCTGACACTAGTTATCTTCTTAATTTCAGTGTTTCTGAAGGGCGTGCCATATTTGTTGTTTATTTTCCTGCGTCAAGAGCAATATCTGTTGTGGTTGTCAATCCATATCAGAATAGAGATCTCTCACCATCCTTTCTGGAAAAGCAATTTCGTGATGCTTGCCAAGCATTATCCGTTCAACCACCTCCTCCTAGGAATGGTATCACATTCAAGGTCAGCCTGTAGGTTATATAAGATACATTCTATCCTTGTGACTTGGTTTGTTTCCACGTTTTTTTTAAACTAGCGACATGGTTTTCTGTTTTTTCAGGTGGAGTACGTTGGGTTTCTCAAGGATGCTGAAAAGATTTTGCAAAGAACAATAAATGAGCACAGGTCTAATTTTATCTTACTTTTGTCGAGCTTTCGTAATCATTGAACAACTTATTTATCTATTTAAAATATAAAGTATTTCTTTCTGTGCATTCCATTAAACTGCAGTTCTTGAGTCACATATATCTCAAAATAAATGGATTCTTGGAGGGGCCTAAAGTAACTATTATGTTTACCTTATAAAAGCGAGTGGCTTTCAGATTCAGTAAATCTGTTTTTTTTTTTCCTCCCTGAGGCCAGGATTTATATGTGTAAAATATATTAGTTATGCCAGTTTGTTGATTTTCGTTTTAGCTTGCACTGAGCTGGTTCTTCAGGAATTAACCATGTGTTTGCAACATATAAATGCTTGGAAGAAACAATTTAAATTCAGAGTTTTAAAAAGTTGATTCTAAGGCTTTCCAGTTGGAGCCGTTGTAGCATTTTATTTGACCAAGGTTGCCTCTTTATTTGCATTTTATTTGATGAATGGTAACTTATTGCTCGGAAGGAATAACAGATGCAGAACGTTACTTGGGCACTGTGGTTAGAAAGGAATAAACGTATCTTTGATGAAGGCGAGGAGATATTGGGGAAGTTTGGGAGAAAATCAATTATTGGGTGGTTTCGTGGGTTTATAATAAAAAAAGACTTTGTGGACGTTTCCTTTCTGATATGATGAGGGGCTGGGATCTGATTTTGTAAAGGGTTGTGGTTTAGTTGTTGTATGTTTGATCTTGGTTAGGTGTTGTTGTTTTTTTTTTTTTTTTTTTTTTTTTTTTTTTTTTTTTGTTTTCTTTTTTTTGGTCTTGTTTTGAGGATTCCTTGTCCTCAATTTTGATTTTGGTTGTTTTGGTACTTATAATACAAGTGTTTTTTTTTTTTTTTTTTTTTTTTTTTTTTTTTTTTTTAATAAAAAAAAGTTTCTTGTTTCAAAAAGAAAATTTGGATTTTTTTTAATGAAGCTATTTGTTTCCTAGAAAAAAAAGGTGATAACATACTTTTATTTGTCTTTAATTTTGTTGTTCGGCAGGCATGAACATCATGGACCTACAATTGCCGTTATTGAATGCCCAAATGCTCAATTAATGAAGTCAGGTATACGAGCCTTAGATGATTTTCCATGTGTGAGCATTCCCTCCAATGCTCGTGATTGTCAGTATCAGGTACTAAGTTTTGAATTGATAGCCTATTTACATGCATTTGTTACTTCGCATGCATATGATCAAATACATCTTTCTTTCTTTTCTCTGTTTCTAAATCGTGCTTCGTACAGGCTCTTGGGTGGCAACAAGTTGCTGCAAAAATTGGGATGCAACGTTGTGCTGCATCATCCCAGTGGTTAAAAGAGAGAATTTCTATCTCTAGATATGCTCATGTAATGCATTTATTGTAAAATGAGAATGTTGTTCCGCTAGTATGAATACAAGTACAAGTATCAATTTCTCAAATTTATTGGCACAGGTTCCATTAGGCAATTTCGAACTTGATTGGCTTATATATACAGCGGATGTCATCTTTTCAAGAGCACTGCGTGATCAGCAACAGGTTTTTCCATGAGCTTATATTTGTAATGCCGTTTCTCAATTTTTCTAAAAAAAAAAAGTCATTTCTAGGGTTTAGGCATTTGAACTTAGAATTTTGTGTTTTTCATCGTATATATTTATTTTGTAAGAAAGGAAAGAAAATGATTTTTTTTTGGATGTTTCAGCCTTTTTCATATATTTGGAGTGCACATTTTAGTGTTGTTTAGTCTTTGTAACTCCCCCCCTACCTTTGTTTTTTAGGTGCTTTGGATATCTGATGATGGTATTCCAGATCTAGGTGGCATTAATGAAGAAGATACGTGTTTTGTTGACGAGGTTACTTCAATCTTATATATTTTTAAATATTAAGACTATTATCTTTCCATCTCCTAATAACTTACGCTTTTGAAAGAAATGATAAATTAACTTGGCGTGACAATGGGAGGTCCTGAGTAAAAATCCCTATAGTTGCAATCTATAAATTAATTTTCATCACATGTAGGCTTAATATGTTCAGGCTCATGACTAAATATTCACGTGTTGGGCCTGTCCAATTGATATTTTCCCACTCATTTGCCCCTTGTCCAATCTACACTTGAGGGAAGTTTTAAATGTAATGTTAGCTCACTTCTTCATTGCTTAAGCTCTTAGGAGATGATAAATTAACAATATATTATCAGGAACACTAATTGCTTGTTTAAGTTCTTTGTCAGTACAACTTGAAAAAAGAGGTTTCTTCAAATATTAGTACTTTCCTTTATTTTTGTTAGCTGGACCTCTTGTCCACTTTATTGTACTTGTTCTTTTATTAATAAAAGTTTATTTCTTATAAAGAAAAAAAATAACTCCTCCACTTGGTATTTCGGTTTAGCAATTTATCCATTTGATATTGGAGTTTACAAGCCAAATTTAGATTTTAAGGTGAAATCAGTATGCATTGCTTTGCTGCTTTCTTCTGTGAACTTACTGGTGATCTTTGTCGCCAGGTCCAGCAACCTGTTCTCACGTACCCTGGAGCATATAGAAAAGTCACTGTGGAGCTGAAGGTTCAGAAAATACATCATTTTTTTCATCCCTTTCTTTCCCTTTCTAAATTTGTCAAATTTTAGATGATTGTACTGAATATTTTGTCGATGTTTTCTTGAAGATTCATCATCTAGCTGTAGATGCTCTTCTCAAAAGCAACCAAGTGAATGAAATGGAGGGAGGCGCTTTGTTAGGATTTGAACCAAATACAAATTCTGGAGCACAGACTTCTAATGAACACGGTGTTAGGAATGGTGGCTTTGATGAGGCTATTTCATGTGCACCTGCTTTTCGTGTATTAAAACAGTTAATTCAGAGGTGTCTTTCGGATGCAGTTACTTCAGGAAATGTATATGCTGATGCAATATTGCAACACCTATACCGATGGCTTTGCAGGTTACTATATCCATTTGTATATAGTTTTTGTTTTAACTGGTATAATTATTTCCCACTTCACAGCATGTGGCTGTACCTCATGTTTTCAGCTTCTTGACATTGTGTAAGCGTATAGATTCGACTCATGGTTACTGCTTCCTTTTCAATATTGCAGCCCTCAATCAAAACTTCATGACCCAGCTCTTCACCGTTTACTTCACAAGGTGAATATTCCTTTTAGTGATGAATTTCTTTTACATAACACTTGATGAGCAGTTAGAGTGCAAGAAGTGTTATGAAGGTGATCTTTCCCATAATTTACCCTTTTCTGTAAAATGATTTTTCATTCCTCTTCCAAGGTGGTACAAAAGAGGCAAATAGTACTCGTAGATTCTGATGGGTTTGAATAGTCATTTGTGATGTTTTGTTGTCCTCGTTTATGGTACTTTGTTTCCAGTTTTGCTGGTACCTATTTTGGCAAGCAAGGGCATCTTGTTCACTTTGTACTGTACTTTTTCCTCTTTAATGAACTTTTGTGTTGCATTGGGAAAAAAAGGCATGTCGCCATATCTCTCTTAGTACCCTTCTTTTGGTGTTTTCTCTGTGGGCATGGAAATTTGTCATGTATATGTGATCTTTGATGTTTAAAGTACGGGACTCATAAATTTACTTTATGATTTCTTCTAATTATTCACTATAGGTCATGAAAAAGGTATTTGCACTATTGTTGGCCGAGCTTCGCAAATTGGGTGCCACTATTGTATTTGCAAACTTTTCCAAGGTTATCATAGACACGGGAAAATTTGACCTATCTGCAGCCAAAGCTTACTGTGATTGCTTACTTAAAGCTCTGCAAACTAGGTTTGTCTTACTTAATGGTTTATAACTGTGTGTGTGTGTGTGTTTATATATATACATATATATATTTGCTTATATATATATATATATATTAACCTTCTCATATTTTTGTCCTTTTTTTTCCTTTCTTTTCTTTACAGAGACCTATTTGAATGGATTGAACTCGAACCATTGCAGTTCTGGCATTCCTTGCTTTTTATGGATCAGGTTTGGTCATTGTTTTTCTCCTTGTAAATAAGTATCAAAGTTCTTATAGATTCTAAATTATTGAATTGTGTTAGAGCAGCCTTTAGTCTAGTCTATGAGAGGAGGGTAAATTGGGAAGAAAGAAAATGATTAGGGGTTGGATTTAATTTTTCAGGAATTAGCTAATTGCTGACTAATGTTTCTTTTTTGTTTAAAGGGAGGTAGAGAGTAGTGTTGGGGGATTCTGCTGACTTTCGAATTGTGTCTGTTTGGTCCTTATGCTTAGTGTGGGAGTTCTCCGGAGTCCTGGAATACTCCAGACTATCATTTTGGTTTTTCTTTGATTTTCCTAGCTGATTGTACTTGTTGAGTCAGTGTTGAAGTTGATTAATGAAACTTACTCTGATTTCATCCAATTTAATTGTCAATTTCTGGTTTGTGTGTGGAGTATTTGGGCTGTTTGGCTGGATTTCTTGGAATTACCCATGTTTGTTCCGGATTTTCTTTCTTTCAATCTTCTATTCTTTGTCCAATTATGCACGCCCGTACGTGTATTCTTCTTAAATGATATATAAATTCTTCGTAGAATATTGATTGAGTGGCAATAAATGGATAATTTGAATCTATATGATGGACAAGAAAAGGGGAAACAAAAATGTTTTCTTGAAATTTTTGTGATTCATTGCCAAAGCAAAAAAATTACGGTCCTGCCCCCGCTGTTGACTGTGTTAGGAAATCAATATGTATCATTTTATTACGGTAGCATAAAACGTCATGGATAATCTTGAGCACCTATCCGTAAACTTTTCTTGTGAAGAAAACATTATGAAAGGTCAACCTTTTCTTGTTTGGCGCACTTAGAATAATGTCTGTCGACACACTTCCATTTATACATGGAGTTTACTCGGTAAACTCCCTACATTTGTTGCATAAATTTGGCTATTGAATCCCAATCTGATGTTCTAAGAAGTATGAATGTTTATGTAATCAAATTATTCTAGTTCTAGGAGCCACAACCCTAAAATAAAATTGAAAATCTAATTCTTCTACTTTATTTTGTCCGCCGCCTTTGTTTACGTAATTCACTTTATACATATATAACTTCTTTGTCCTGTTTTATATTGTAGTATAATTATGGTGGAATCCCTGCGAAAGCTGATGAAAGCACGGATGGTGAATCTGAGGTTGATATCATATCAAGCTGGAATATTGCTGAGTATTTACCCAAGAAAATTCAGGTAACATGCCACTGATTATTCTTGATGTGATAAAGCAGCACCTTTATCATGGTACAGTGGATTGTTCTATGGAATTTAGTGGTGGTAGATTCCAATAACTTAATTAGCCCTTTGGGTTTTTTGCAGGACTATTTTGTGTTTATTGTGTCCCAGTTTCTTTATATTCCCTGGAGCTATGCACGAAAGCAGGCTGCGATTAGAGCATCTGTACAGGATGGCAACTTATGTACACCATCAATAACTGTTGCAGCTGCTGAGACTTTTGAATCTCATTTGACAGAATATCTTAAAGGGCAGGTATAATGACGACAGTAGTTGACCAACACCCAATGTGGCATGATCTCTTTATTCTTGTTTTACATTGATTTCCACATTATCTAAACTTCGTTTATGCTCAACAGATCAGCTCATACTTTACGGAAAAACTTTTAGGAATTGTGCGTGATACCATTCTTCATATGAAGGAACTAAGTCAATCTGAAAATGAAAAATTTACATCTCCAGTGATGACACAAGTCTCTAGTAAGGCTAGCAAAGGGGATGCAGCCCTGGAGTTTATTAAGCACGTCTGTGCTGTTCTTTCCCTTGATCAAAACGTTCAGCATGATGTCCTGGTATTTTATTTAATTTCTTCTACCATATCAGCTCCCATTGCCCAAGTCCAATGTTGATTTTTTTTTAACCTACAATTCATACAAACTATGTGCAAGTTTGTTCTGATAATTGTTATAGCGATTCCATCTGCTATTCCCTTTTGTTAATAATATTCTGCTTCGTAATGCTACAGGTTATGAGAAAGAATCTGCTAAAATATGTGCGTGTAAGGGAATTTGCTCCTGAAGCTGAATTTTGCGATCCCTTCCCCTCCTTCATCTTGCCAAATGTCATTTGCAGGTATGTAATGGTGATTGTATATTTTTAAGTTTGCCTGATTTTTGAATAATGGGGTTAGTTATTCGATATAGTCTGGTGGAAGAACCCAATTTATGTTCTCGACTACTGCAAGGAACCCATGCTCGAGTTTAATTGGCTCCTTCTAACCTAGTTAAGATGTTTCAAGAAAATCAGACTTATTGTTGTATATTGTTGTATTTTGTTATATTGTGTAAGTTTTGAAGGGAAAAACTCTTCTATTATTATTGATTTAATAGGTATAAATAGCCCTAGGAGTGTCACGGATAAAACCCTATCCACTTAATAACACCTATCCTAATAAAATTCAAGCATTTATCCTAATAAAATTCAAACTCAAACTTATCTAAACCTAGGATAACGAATCTGTTTGAAACAGATTTGCTTTATTTGACTTTAAGCATATCCTAATCTAAAACTTATCTTAATCTTTTCGACACTCCCCCTCAAGTTGGTGCATAGATGTCAATCATGCCCAACTTGCCTATTAGAAATTCATGCTTCGGTTTGTGGAGTCCTTTCGTTAGGATATCTGCAGTTTGTTGTGTTGTCGGGACAAATGGTAAAGCATATGTTGCCTGTCTTAAGCTTCTCTTTTATAAAGTGTCGGTCTATTTTCACGTGCTTCATCCTGTCATGCTGCAGTGCAATGCTGATGGCAGCTTTGTTGTTGCAGTAAAGCCTCATTGGTTGTTCTATAGGCCTTCTTAATTCCTCAAGCACACGTTTCAGCCACAGTAGTTCGGAGATTCCTTGGGAAATAGCTCTGAACTATGCTTCTGCACTACTCCTAGCCACTACGCTCTGCTTCTTGCTTCTCCACGTAACTAGATTACCCACACAAACGTGCAATACCCAGAGGTAGACCGCCTATCAATTATTGAACCAGCCCAATCAGCATCAGTATAGGCTTCAATCCCCCATTGTTTATTCTTCTTAAAGAATAATCCTTTTCTTGGAGTACTCTTTAAGTATCTCAGGATTTTGTATACGGCTTCTAGATGTTCTTCATATGGAGAATGCATGAATTGGCTCACCACACTTACTGCGAAGGCTATGTCTGGACGCGTATGTGACAAGTAAATCAGCTTACCAACCAACTTCTGGTATCTAGTTGTGTCAACAGGAACCTTCTTCTCGCTATCTCCGAGTTTCACATTTGGCTCCATTGGCATTTCAGAGGGTCTACAACCTGTCATGCCTGTCTCCTTTAGGAGATCGAGTACATACTTCCTTTGAGAAATCACAATTCCTTCCTTTGATCGAGCAACCTCCATACCTAGAAAGTATTTCAACGACCCCAGATCTTTGATTTCAAACTCAGATGCTAGACATTTTTGAGCCTGTCCATCTCTGACAAATCGTCTCCAGTGAGGATAATGTCATCCACATAGACAATTAGGATAGCTACTTTCCCCCTGAGAACTTCATAAACATTGTGTGATCTGTCTGTCCCTGAGTGTATCCTTGTTTTTTTATGGATCGGGTGAATTTCTCAAACCATGCTCTCGGTGATTGTTTGAGACCATACAAGGATTTCCTTAACTTACAGACTTTTAAGCCGAATCTCTTGTCAAATCCTGGAGGCGGCTCCATGTAGACTTCCTCTTCTAGATTTCCGTTTAGGAATGCATTTTTTACATCCAGTTGTTGTAGTGGCCAATCCAAGTTGACTGCAATTGAGATAAGCACCCTTACTGTGTTTAGCTTCGCAACCGGCGCAAATGTCTCTGAATAGTCTATGCCGTAGGTCTGAGTGAATCCCTTTGCTACCAACCTTGCCTTATATCGATCTAAGGTCCCATTTTCACTCCTATTCTCCCCCTGAAGATGATCACCTCCAAAGAATGGTTTTGTTTCGAAAAAGGTTACGTCTATTGTAACAAAATATTTTCGAGAAATTGGGTCAAAGCACTTATATCCCTTTTGATTTGGTGAGTAGCCAACAAAAACACATTTTCTGGCCCTTTGGTCAAGTTTTCCACGATTATGATTGTGAATGTGTACAAACGCAGTGCATCCAAATATTTTTAATGGAATCTCACTTATTAATCGTGATGTGGGAAAACATTTAGTAAAAACATGAATTGGAGTTTGGAATTGTAAAACTTTTGAGGGCATTCGATTGATCAAGAAGGTAGCTGTAAGTATGGCTTCTCCCCACAAGTATTTAGGTACTCTAGTTGTAAAAAGTAAGGCTCTAGCAATTTCAAGGAGATGCTTATTCTTCCTTTCCGATACTCCATTTTGCTGGGGAGTATCAGTGCATGAGCTTTGATGTATGATGTCATTTTCTGCAAAGTGTTTTCCTAGAATCTTGTTAAAGTATTCTTTCCCATTATCACTTAGAAAGATTTTAATTTGAGCCTTAAATTGAGTTTTTACCATATTATGAAAATCCTTCAAAGCTTGTTCGACATTAGATTTTTCTTTTAACAAGTACACCCATGTTATCCTAGTGTGGTCATCAATAAATGTGATAAACCACCTTTTTCCTGATTGTGTTGTTACCCGAGAAGCTCCCCAAACATCACTATGAATCATAGAGAAAGGTTCAGTAGGTTTATATGGCTGTGAAGGGAAGGATGCACGGTGGTGTTTTTGCTAAATCACAAATTTCACATTGAAAAGAAGATGAATTTTTATTGATAAATAAACTAGGAAACAAATACTTTAGATAATAGAAATTAGGATATCCTAACCTTAAGTGCCATAGCATGACTTTATTTTTACTAGAAATAGAAATAGAATTGAAACAAGTGCCTTGGGCTTGTCTTGTCAAGGCCGATCCATCTTCAAAGAAATAGAGTCCTCCTTTCTGTTCAGCACTGCCAATCGTCTTCCCCGAGTTCAATTCCTGGAATTCACAATGAGACGGAAAAAAGTGAGCTTGACAATTCATCTCATGGATTAATTTACTGATTGATAAAAGATTACATGACAGTTTAGGGACATGCAAGACATCACGAAGGGTAATAGACGGTGAAATAATAATTGAACCTTTTCCAGCTATAGCTGAAAGAGATCCATCAGCTATTTTTACTTTTTGATTCCCTGCACATGGAGTATATGAGATAAATAGGTTTGCGGATCCTGTCATATGGTCAGTTGCCCCTGAATCTATGATCCATGGGTGATTGGAATTAGGAGTGACACTTACTAGGGCAGCGGTGAGGTAGTTACCTTTATGGGCTAAAGAGCACGAGGGTGAGGGATTTACTGATAGACTAGAAGACTGAAGGAGTTTGTACAGAGTGTCTAATTGTTCCTTTGTGATTGAGAGCTTTTTTGAGGAAGACTGTTGCCCTTGATCTTTATTGGAAGCCTGGAATGCGCGGTTATCTCCCTTTTTCTTTCAGTTTGGAGGTTTTCCATGCAGCTTCCAACACGTCTCCCGTGTATGCCATGCCTTCTTGCAGTGATCACACCAAGGTTTCTCTGTTCGCCTTGAGTCCCTTCTGTCTCCATCTACTTCCGGGCCTTTGGAAGACAATACTGAGCTTTCAGTTTTAGGCGTGATTTCTGACTTGTTCATCATGACGTTTCTTCGCGCCTCTTCTCTCCTTACTTCTGAGAAGACCTCTCGTATGTTTGGCAGTGGTTTTTGACTTAGAATTCTCCCTCGTACTTCATCTAATTCACGGTTAAGTCCTGCAAGAAACATGTACACTTGTTCATCTTCCTCTCTCTTCAAGTATCGCACACTGTCTTTAGAACTTTCCCATTCGTCCTCATAACATTGATCCAATTCTTGCCAAAGTGTCACCTTTTCGTTGTAGTATGTTGTCACCTCCTTCTCTACCTGCTTCAAGTTCCATAGCCGAGTCTTGAGTTCAAAGATTAGGGAGGGGTTTTCTAAATCCGAATGTGTCACGGACGGCTTCCCATAACTCCTTGACAGTGGGAATAAATAAGAATGGTTTCCCTATTGCTGGCTCCATAGAATTGATAAGCCAGGCAGTAATCATGGAGTTTTCGGATCTCTATGCTTTGAGTTTCGAATCATCATCTGCTGGTTTCTTCACACCTCACCAGTCAAGTGTCCTAGTTTCCCTTTTCCATCTATAACAAGTTTCACCGTCTGTGCCCATTCGAGGTAGTTCTTTCCATTCAACTTGTGAGTCGTTAGTTGTAGGGAATTTTGAACTGCTACAGCACTCTCGGCAACTTCTCCGGTCAATAAGGAGCCTTTAATTGCCCCGGTCATAGCTGTCTTAACCATTGGCACTCTCTAGATCAGCCACGGCTCTGATACCATGTAACTTTTGAAGGGAAAAACTCTTCTCTTATTATTGATTTAATTGGTAAAAACAGGTATAAATAGCCCTAGGAGTGCCACGGATAAAACCCTATCCACTCAATAACATCTATCCTAATAAAATTCAAACTCAAACTTATCTAAACCTAGGATAACGAATTTGTTTGAAATAGATTTGTTTTATTTGACTTTAAGCATATCCTAATCTAAAACTTATCTTAATCAACCCTAACTAATTATCTCTTATCTTTTTGACATATTGCTATAATTGTTATGGTGGTTGGATAACCTAGCTTGTATATACTTTGGTAAATTGGCTTTACATAATCTCCTTCAGGTCTATTTTCCCCTTCATAACCTTGACACTATATTAAACTTTTCGTCACATAATAAATACAAAAAAAACATTTAATATGGTAAAACAAGAAATCTGGATTTTTTTCTTTTGGTGGGGGGTGGCTGGGGGGCTGGGCTAGGACTACAAACTGAAGCATTCTTAAGTATCTTTTTCTCCTTCAGGCAGAATTCTAAAGGTCATCACAAGTTGGGTCTAAGTTTATGTATGGGAAAGAATTCATCTTTTGTAGTGCCATTAAAGTATACTGTTTGGATTTTTAAGCTCATTTCTGATATCTTGTGGTAGTGGTAGCAATGAAGTCTTATTCCATTCTATATTTTCTTAAATCCAATGAAAAGGATCAAAATTAGCACTAGCTGACTTGCTGTTCACTGTTGTATTTGACGACAGCTACTGCAATGACTGTAGAGATCTGGACTTATGTCGTGACTCAGCTCTACTGGCTCAGGAGTGGCGCTGTGCTGTGCCACAATGCGGGCAACCCTATGACCGGGAGGTAATGGAAAATGCTCTTCTTCAGATTGTACGACAGAGAGAGCGTCTCTACCACGTGCAGGATCTGGTGTGCCTAAGGTGCAGGCAGGTGAAGGCCGCACATTTGGCCGAGCAATGTGCATGTGCTGGCGCATATAGATGCAAGGAAGACGTAACTGAGTTCCATAGGAAGATGCAGATATTCTTGAACATTGCCATTCGCCAGAAGTTTCAACTTCTCCAAGAGTGCACATCATGGATATTAGGAATCCGGTAGCGTTTTATTTATGCTCTTCCTTAAGGTTCATCTTATTGGGCAATCAGATTAATAGTTTCTGAAGGTCTCTAATACTGCAAGAGAGTCCTCGTTGTATTCAATGAGGTTCAAAAGCTATCCCAATTTACTGCATGGGGAAACAAATACGGCGTGCCTGATACTGCAAGAGGCAGACATGATTATATTGCCGAAACTTTCTCAAACAAATACACAAAGCAATAAATGTCGAGTTGGCTATCGTCAAATTTGGAGATGCCTATAATCAACATTGTCGCAATTGGGGGTATCAGCGGGCTCCAAGGAACTTCAGAATGTCCTTCCTATCTATTTCCAGTTTCCATGGATTTGGAGCAGAGGGGGAAGAATGCTTACAGATGTTGGTGCAAGCAAATGACTTCCTTTGTCCCCATTTGATTTACAGGGCTTAGAGTTTGAACATTTCCCTCCACTAAAATAATGTTAAAGCCCTATTTGCAGCTGTATTAAAATTTTTGTTTGGGAGCTAGCAGTCGAGAGCTTTGTAGAGAACCGGAGGGACCAGGCTCGCTCGTTTACACTGCCTCGAAAAACCATTTGTACCGAAACTTACCTTTCAAGTTAACCATATAATTGAAGATTGAAGAATATATTGAAGCTTTTTAATAGTTGCTAATGAAGGGGCTCAAGTGAATAACAAGCTATTATTTGCTTCTGGCCTGAGAAATCTTTGGGGGAGAAAGTGAACCATGCATGCACTACGCATCAAAGAAAACAAGCATAGCAAACCTTGTACACATTCTAATTTTTTCTTTCTCCACTTTCTTTGGTTACAGGTTTATTATTATTATTACTACTGTAGTTATTTTGCCCTGAATTGGCTCGTGCATTTCAACATCAAACAAATTCACCCAACATCATCCCCACAACGGGAATGGGCTTTGTCAAACATGGGAGCATATTTTCAAAATCATAAACCGAACCAAGCTGACATTTTCGTAGTTTGGATTGAAACTGAACCAATTAATTGGGCATAGGTCTGCACGGCCATAATAGATCTACTCGCGATCTTGTTGCGGAGATATGAGTTCTCACGGTTGGAGATCTGCTAGCTGCGAGAGTTTGTCAATGGCTGCGGAGATCCGAAGACAAACGTCGAAAAGATTCTCAACACTCACGATGATTATGCGATCTTCATCGCAATCAACAATCTCTGCTCTGAAGGATCATCTTTGTTGCAAGCTGTGGGGGTTGCAAGGATTGTCGTTGTTGCGGCAAGATCTCCGTGAAGAGAGAGATATGAAAGAGAAAGGGCAAAAAAAAAAGACTAATTTTATTTTAAAAAGAGAAGCCTTTTGTTTTTTGTTTTTTTTTTTGTAAGGTTAAAGAGAGAAACTTTATATGCTATTATTTACCATGAGAAAACATATAGGCTATAGCCGTGTAAGTTTGGAGGCCAAACAAGAAGGAACCAAAAAAAAAAAAAAAAAAAAAAAAAAAAAAAAAAAAAAGAGAAATATCCTTAAAAGTGCATGAGTTTGGATTTTTATTCCTTACTCTTAATTAATATCATTTTTAGTCAAATAATTATATTAATTAGAAGAATATTAATTAAGAGTAAGGAGTAAAAATCTAAATCTATGTACTTTAAAGGTGAGTTTAATAATTTTTTCAAAAAGAAAGGAAACATTAGATAAATAGAGGCTCTTTGGAGCACTTCTTGGCAATATTGTTAGTTTGTTACTTTCCACCTTTCCGAGGCCACTCTGTAAAGAAAGAATGCAGCATGACATCAACAAATAATTCCAATCTCTTGCCTTTTTCCTCCGAAAAATCCAATCTCGAACTTTTTTATTTATTTTTTTCAATAAAGTGCACTAACGTACTCCATTAACAAACACACAATTAAGTCCAAAATATGAGGTGCCCTAAAAATTTAAAAGTCATTGCTACAATAAATCATTATTCCTACCATATCAATCGAATTCCGTTATGGTATATGTATTTAAGCGATCACCAGAAGAACCATCTCCGTTTGGTAGTAGTAGCAGCAGCAGCAGTAGAATGACCAAGTGGTTCATCTTTTGTCCCATTCTCCATTCCCTGCTTCAAAGATTCCAATCTTTTCCTGCAAATAACATAGTTTAGAGGTAACATTCGCAACCTTAAAAAAAAAAAAAAAAAAAAGGTAACATTCGCAAGTTCTAAAACAGTGTTGAGAAGAATTAGTTTTGCATCAGCTTTAAAAATAAAAATACAAAATAAAAAATAAAAGTAGCAGCTGATGGTTCATACATATGAACTGTTTATAGCAGATTTGAATAATGATACTCTGTAGTTCACATACAAAACATTACACAGTTTTCAGAGGCAGCTAAATAAGTCTGTTTATTCATTATTTTATTCATCCAAATCAAACAAGTGACTTATCATTCAAATTTCCATGAAGAGTTTGGAGCCAACAGAAGAAATATCTTATATTATGACTATGCAAGGATACGTATGATAGCATACTTGGTATCTGTAAGGCGGCCATGCAAACTCCATCTCTGGCGAAAGCCGTCCACACCTTCAATCCCACTAGCAAGAATCAAGCGCCTAAAATGAAGTAATGCATGTAAATATAATCCTCAGACAAAATTCGACATAATATGGCGGTTTTTCGGTAAGCAAGTTCTAATGGAGGATGATAAATGGTGATATTTCTATCGACTGACCAAAATGTTCTTCCTTGAAGTAGTGTACATTATCATGACTATAACATACAGCAGGCTAAGTGAATTCTTCAATTTGTATACTCTTCACAAATGAGCTCCATAACTTTTAGAAATGTGTGGTTGTAATCCCTTTTAGACATGCTCAAATACGACTTTTATAGGAGTTCTTACAAATGTATTCCGATGGAGTTGACAACTTATTAGAGCTTTAAGGCATTGAGATGTTATCATATGCTTTGTTAGGACAATTGGAAAAGCACTAAATGAATCAATATGGGAACTGCTGAGAAATGGGAACTATCACACACTGCTTCGATGAAAGTGAGCATAGTCCATAAAGTTTTCGATAGCTTGTTCTAGAATATACCTTTCTAATGATGTGATCTCTGATTCAATCAGAGTAGCCCTTTGCTTTGCTTCATCTAAAGGCATTGATAACCCCAGTTTGTGCTCGCTTTCCTCAACCCGTTTCCTTAATTCTCTATCCTTTTTCATAGGAAAAAAAAATTTAACTAAATATTTGAAATAAGAAAAATTACAGAATTAAAGAGAGGGGTATGCTTAAAAGTTAAAACCGAGAGCAAAAGGAATATTACAAAACACCCTTCCAGTTCAGACAATAACCCCCGTCCCACACACACGTGCACACACATACAGGGGAAAAAACGAAAAAGAAAAAGAGTCAATACCACACAATTCTAAAAAGAAATTACACTGACAAAAAATTTTGAAAAAAATAAAAATTTCTACTTATTATAGTATTTTGTCACTTCAGAAAGAAACTATCTCACCCTTTTTTCAGCACATTCCCTATACAATACAATCTCATCTTGACAAAATGGCTCAATGTCGTTAATTTGCAGGCCTGCAGTATAATTTGTAGTTACCAACATAAATTAGCTCAAAACTTGGAACAGAAATTTAAGGTAAAATTAAACAAGAGAATAACCTGTTATGCAAATGAAAGGTGTCGATCACAATATTAGCATTCTACGGAGATCGTGTCATGCTTATTATCTAGAAACTGTAAGAATCATCGTCCAACCACTTATTTATTTCCTTTTACGCAAAAAGAAAAAAAAAAGAAAAAAAAAAAAGGAAAACCACCTGGACGGTAATCGATTCATTATCCACCTTTTTCGTACATGGCCAAGAAGGGAGTCAAACTACTGAGATTGTGCATTGTCGGCTTATTCACTACAAACTTAATTTTTTTGAGAAAGAAAAGACGTGATAACCTATACACTAATAATCTACAAACTGAATTAACCATGCCATAGATTTTTACATTTTATTGACAAAATAAATACTGCCACATGAAATGAATGCAAGACAACTATAGAATATAAGATATAGGATTAAAGAAAGGTAAAAACTTACACAAGAATAGATTTCTCAATAACCCATCACACAATTCGACACCTTCAAGAACATGAGAAGCAATCTCTGGTGGAATGATAGGTGATGGTGGGCCCATCATCAGGTCATCACCAACCAAAATAGTTTCCTCCATAGTTGGCTGCGAATCAACTAAACACCAGAAAAAAGGTAGCAACTCGTGAACACATTGTAGATCCAAAAAGTTAAAACTGAAAGAATTTTAGGTCCCGTTCGTTTTATTGATTCGAATCATAACTCAAGTGTTTGCTATAGTGTTTTCTCTCACAAAAATTCAGATTCAACTTTTCTGCTACAGCATTTTCTCTCACATGAATTTATTTTTTAACTCAAATTCTTAACTCGAACGAACGAAATGAAGGGGGCCTTAAATTTTAAATTTCTCTCTCACACTTCAGAAAAGGTCCCAGCCCCACACCAACTTAAGGCTTCATCATTCACAGGTGTAATTATATATAGATATACGTATATATATGTGTGTGTATTGAACTGTTGATTGTTTTCATAAATACGAAAAGAGGCACCAGTCTTTAACATACCATCCATGGTTGCTTTTCACGTAAACTTCCACTTAGAAAACCCAATGCACGAGATTAAGTAAAGGAACCTGAAAACCATAAGAGAACAACGAAATGAAGCTCAAATGCAATAAACAACGAGGAGGAGATGTGTCATAGAAAAAGTAGAACCAAAAAATGCAGCACACAACCAAGGGCTTTCTCCATTAACTATTAAACAAAGAACTACTTAAAGGAACCATGAATGAGATTTTGCAGGTTAATGTACATTTTCAGTGAGGCATTTCATCAAACATGTTAAGGACACTGTCGAAACCTGCGAAATCTCGTTTATTTGAAAGAAGACAAAAAATGGGTAGTTAAGAAAATACAGTTAGATAGAGTACCACTTGACAGAAAACTATGGGCAGAATGTTGTCGAAGAATGAGAAGCAGAAGCAAAGCCGGAGCAGTGGACAGCGCACCAACAAACACTATTACGTTTTTTTTTACGTGGTGGAGTCCGTCTATTACAAAAATGTTTAAAATTTATGACCCTAAATTACACTAATACCCCGTAGGTTCTTCCAAAACTTCCCATTTGTCCTTTAGAAAATATTAAATTTAAAAGGGTTATATTGTAATTTAAAAAAATTATAGTTTTTTCTTAAGGGGAAAAAAAAATCTAGTTTAGTAACCGTAATGAAAGTGATGTTTGGTTTATGAGTTCAGAATTATAGTTTATGATTTTAATTTTTAAAATTTAAATTTTTTATGAGAAAAAATACTGTAATGAATCAAAAACCGTAATTCATAATCAAATCAGAACTCTCGAAACAAACGAAACAAAAATGTCCAGTTTGGTATTTGGAATTAAAAGAGTATTTTTTTTAAAAGAAAATTTTCATTTAAACAATGAAACAAACAATACAACTGATGTAGAACCAGAAACAGAAGATGAGAGGAGAGGGGGAAAGAGGAGAAAAGATAAGAAATAGGCAGAAAATGAGGAGATTGAGAAACAAGGGGTCGAGAGAGAATATTGTATTTCTTTTTCATTCAAGTCTGAATTCTGGAGTACCAAATCAGCCAATTTATAGGCTGGTTACGTGACTAAAACAGGAATGTAAATATTCTAAATTAAATACATGAAATCATAATAAGAAATTAAATCATCAATCATCCCAATTAATTCACCAATCAATCATATTACATTCCCCAATCAACCCCAATTAAGCCCAATTTATTTCGATATCTTTTTTTTTTTTTTTAAATATGTTTGCATCTTCGTTGATATGTGTCCCGCATCAACAACGCAATATTAATGACCTATTAAAGGATCTTACATACACTTGAGTTTTGAAAATGAGAGATAATCTCGGTACTCCATAAATGAGCACTTTTAAGATTCGAATTGAAAAAAAAAACCCATCTCATCAAGATAAACTTTCGAGTTCTGGAGGGACAGAATACCAACTCCCATATAAAAGGGACAAAGCAACACAACATACCCAAAGACTCACATTATCGGAAAAAAACTTAACCAGGTGAGATACACAAATCAAAGCTGGAAGATGAGAAAACTACCTCTGTTATTACAAAATAAAGCCGAACACACACCGGCAACCATCACTTAAGAAATGACGACAACATAGCCTTTATTACACACCAAACACAAAACTAAACAAAGAGACGCCCAAAATACACCGATTGAATTTTTTAGAGATAGCCGACTGTCATAAAAAAAGAGCAAGAAAGTTGCAACAAACCAAACCAAAAAGGGGCCGAGCCACCGTTTCCATCCGCCGCCTCAAGTGAAAGAGAAGCGAAGCACCCATACAGCACCGAATCTCCCATCTACCTCCAAGCCACAAGGGTAACCGAAACCACTCCACCCTCTTCGACCTCCGAGCCGCATACAATCTCCCTCCAAAGGAGCATGATATTGAGAAGACCCATCTATGGTGGCCTCATACTCACGCGGGGTACAGTTGCATAAAGCGTTGGCCTCCAAAAACTCGCCGGAACAAGCCTCCTCAAAACCCATATCTCCCTCTCAAAATAAGACGACGTCTAAATTTCACCGAAAAAGTCGAATCCGTTACATCTGGGCACTCTCTTACGGAGTCAGGAATCCAGAGCACCGCCTAAAGACGGTGCTGGATTTCGACCCTTTAAAACCTACAGCAGAGGTGGCGTAAAGATGTGAAGAAGAATTAAGAGTTTTAAGGTTTAAGACAAATTTTATTTTTCCTACAAGTGCTAAGGGAGATTCTCTAATACGTTTAGGATAATGGTATGCCAGATTTTTTTAACTATTAAATCTGCGTATTTTTTAATTTTTACGTAATTTAATATAAATTTGACAAATAAAAAACTTGATATACCATATTGAAAGAGGTCTCCATGTACTAATTATAAAAAAGAAAAAAGTCAGGGACTTTGATGAATTCTTCGTTCTTTGATTAAAATTTTTAATTCTAATTTTATTATAGTTAAATTTTTTTACATAAAATCATATTTAATTTTTTTTACTATAATTAAAAACTTTCACATTAAATCACATTAATTCAAATTAAAAACTCATGAACTTAACGAGAAACTAGGCATTTTAACTCCTTCAACTCTCCTCATTTGCCTCAAAATTAGCAGATATATATATACATATATATTTATATATATATCTAGAGAGAGAGAGAGAGAGAGAGAGAGAGAGAGAGTGAGTAGACAGTGGCTGTCTGTCTGGTGCCCAAGAAAGTGAAAGAAAGAAAAGTGGCTTTGGCTTTGGCTCTTTCGAAAGCTTTGCTCCGCGGATTCGTTCAGTCTATGTACGACGAGGTACGGCATTTTCTCCTTCGTATCCATCACCTTTATCCCTCCTTTGCTCCATCAACTATGGTTTCAAAATCCTCCGAAACAAACAAAAAAAAAAAAAGAAAAAGAAAAAACGATCGAACAAGAATCTCTCTTGTGTTCCAATTCTTTGCGTTTTGGTGATCTGTATTTGTTGTTTCCATTAATCGATTTGCATTCTGATCGGTGTTTGGCAGTTCTCGTTTCAAATTGTTTGCATTGTGAAACAATCGCTTTCAATGCTGTTTCAATCTATTAAAGTACCGTGTTGTATTTATTTCTCTGTTTTTGATTTTTTTTCTTCCAATACTGATACGTTCTTGATCGAGTAATTGAAAATTTTCATAGTTATGTCAATTTGATAGCGAAAGATTTTCCATTTCCGAATGTGGTTAATTTTGAGAATCTACTGTTAGGGTTTATGGTGATGTGCCTTTTTCTGTAATTACATATTTTTCTCAGGGAATTATTAATGAGCAATTCTATCAAGTACAAGCCCTGAAAGAAGCTATTAGACCTGACTATGTCTTGAGAACCGTCACTAGCTACTGCGTTTCTGCTCAAAGTTTATTCTCTACTTTGACCTCTCAAATGTAAATGCTCGCTCTCTCTTTTATCTCTCTTACCTGCACTGTATTTTTACTCGTGTTGGCTTTATTTCTCAGGTCATGGCATTTTTTTTTCTTTTTGATGTTTATGTGAATGCAGCAACAAAGAGAATGTTGATTTCTACGATATCCATGCTTCAGCTACCAATCTTTATGAGAAAACTAGTTGGTAATGCCGATGTTCTTTCGTTGCTGAGGAAGGTTAACCCCATTGAGTTTTTAGTTGAAGACATTTACTAGAAGTCTTGAATTTCTTTCTATGTCATATACTTGAGAGTATTTGAGTTTTTTGTTCTTTTTTTTGGGCCGTTGAGAGTTTGTGTTGGGTCTCATATCTCATTCTTTGCTTTGCTCATTAGTCGGTGATCGTTACTTAAAAAGAACTATATGTGTGTGTGTGTGTGTCTATTCCATGGAAATATTCGTCTCCATGTTTATTATTGGGTCTTCTTATAGAAAAAAATAGTTGCATTTTGTTTATCGAGGCTTTAACTGTACTTGGATTATTGTTTGTAGATAATGTTTAAATCTTAAACTGACTATGGATTGCCCTTGTTTACTGAGAAAATTGTCCTTTCTTTTCTTTTAAAGTTAACATTCCTAATTGTGATAGAAATTAAAATGCATCCACAAATATGCTAAGTTAATTTGTCTCCAATAAGGGGAACAGAAATATATGTTAAGTTAATGGTTGTTCTTTTTTTTCTTTCTTTTCTTTTGATATTTTTCCTTATTGTTTTTGTAATACGAATGCATCTTACTCTCTTGCATGGTATAGTATTAGTGCTCAAAATGTCAAGTTGGTGTGTTCGGAACTTATTCGTGCTAGTGAGGAATACGAGGAGCGGTAAGAATTATTTTTAGTTATTATTTTCTTACACCTGCATGTTTGTGTCTATTTTTGCTTATAGAATGGAGTTTGGTATTATTTATTTATGTTCTTGGGAATGTGGTTTAGCAATCTATTATTATTATTTCTTCTTTGGCAAGAAATCTATAATCCCTTAATTTTCTTTATCTTGTTGCGTCTCTTTGATAGCATGTTTCTCTCATTATGTTGCTTTGATGATTTCATTAAATAGGTGGTGCAATATATGAGTGCACGTGCTTATACTATTACTATTATAAGTCCACATGCATGTATCTGTTTTTCCTTTTTCAGGTGAGCCGCAACAATGTGAGGTTTATTGACGTGCAGATAAATTTACTAGATTGGTAGATATTAATAAGAGTCATAATCGCTACTATTTTTCTCGTCATAGTATTACTATTCCTGCATCATTGTCGTAGTTGTTGTCATTTTTATATTTTCTTTATTTACGGTAGAATTAGTAATTTTCCTATTGTTTCTTTCTATTTGGCATTTGCTTCTATCTATGTTATTATTGTTATTTTACGTTCATCCTTTAAAGTTCTGGGTCTGAATTTTGTAGTATGGTAAATATGAGAAGCCTGATCAGATATTTTAATATTTGTTTCTACCATCATTTTAGTACCTCTTGATCAAATTCCTTTTTCATGTCTTTCTTTTTACTGAAGGTAATATAGTTGCTATCCTGTTTGTGTTTGATATTTCGGTGACATCATTGTCTAAACAGTCTTGTTAGTTAACAAATAAATATCCATCCTGGAATGTTTCTCATTTTATTGCATTTTTTTCCTTTTCTATTTGCAAATTTTTTTAAAGATGTATGGCTATGTTTTCTCTGTTACGTTTCCCTTTAATGTCCACTTAAAACAACAGGAGTTTATTTGATAAGCTATACAACAGGAGTTTATTTGATAGGCTATACAACAGGAGTTTATTTGATAGGCTATCTGTGCTCATGCTCTCTCTCTCTCTCTTTCCTTTTTTTCTTTTTCCTTGCTGCAAATCCAGATTTACATAATTTATTTTTCCTTTTCAGTTGGAGAAAAGAAAAGGAGAAAAGAAGAAAGCTATTTCTTTTCTTGCTATCCTCTCTGTCAACTGTTCTGTTGGCTTATGATCTCCCTCTTTTCTTCTTGTATTTCATTTTGTACCTACTTTTCTTCAGTTCCAAAAAGTCCCTTTCATATGCTCGTTTTATTTACTGATTTCATTTCTAAAGTCCTTTTTTGTTTGGATTCTGATCTCTCAGTTGCATGCGGGCTCTAAATGGTGCTAAGAATGAATTTTCACAGCTTAAATGAAAATTTGACTCTTTTGCAGGTACTTTATGAACTCTTATGATCTTGATATGTGAATTTCTGAACTTCACCTTCTTCTTTTTGAAAAAATGTTTTCTCCTTTCTTCTCCTATTTATAGTCGAAGGTTTCCACCTTTATAATCTCTTATATTCATCAGTTGAGTGTGGACTTCACAAAAATAATGTTCGTCTCATAATAGAGTACAGTTAGTATTTTTACTTCTTTTTTATATTCATGGATATCATGCAAGATATGTAGAATAATTGATGGGTCAATTTGATGCAATCTTAGCCACATGACAATTGGTTTTTTTAAGTAGTCATGAAATTTGGCTAGATAGAGTATCATAGGAAGTGTGATGCCTCTTGCCTTATGGCCCCATGCATTCACTTCTTGGTTCAAGAATGTTGCATTGTTGCTCTTCCATGAGTTTTGTATTATCTTCATTTTATATGGGCTCGCTTGGAGTTCTGACCTAGTCTAAAAACAAGAGGAAAACGTATTTAAATCCTCTCCTCTTGAGAATAGCAGTTGGCAATATTGCTATTTCTTGGCTAACTTAAGTGGAAAAGAGTTAAGACAGGAGAAGACAGAGTTATGTAGAATTTTAGATATTACTTGAAGTTATCAGGATGGAAGCTCTGCAAAATATCTACACAGATTTTCTGAACATTTTCTAACTATTATTCCTTTTACGGATCATTTGAAAGTGCAGATGGAGAGGAAAGTGATTGACCTAGAGAGTGCGCAGTGGAAAGAATCTGGAATCTATCATTAACAGGTCTTGCATGAACTCCTGAGTAGTAATATTCTGATATGAAAGCCTAGTATGCTTTTGTTCTGTTTGTTTCTGAATAATTATCTTGTTTCCATATTATACATCATTTCTATCTATATGCATATATCATATATGTTACATGTGGAGTTGATATCTCTTTCGAGGTGTTGACTGTTATCTATTTAATTTTAAACACTGCTACCAATTAGGAGCTCTTGGATAAATTCTTTCTTAACGGTATTTTTTTTTCTGAAAAAGTTATGTTTATGTGGAAGGTTTTGAACTTCATGATTCATGTAAGTTTTCTCAATGTTACTAGTAAGGGTACAAAACACTGAAGACAAGTTAAATTGTTTGGTTAACCTTTAGGAGGAAATTGTGGATTTCTTCCCTGTCAGCAAAAATAATCAAATATAATAAAATAAATAAGAAAACTAATTGTGCCACTGCTGGAGCTTGTGACATGGCTACTTTTGTTCTTTTTCATTCATTCTTTCTTTCTTTATTTTCTTTTTCTGGAAGAAGATGGTATGTTTTTATTTTAGTGGAAGTACGTAATATAAGTGCCTCCTTTCCAGAGTAGTTGTACTTCGTAGTCTTTGCTCATCATATGGTATGTGTGTTATTTTCTACGTGAAAAATAAAATTACTTAATTCTATGGATGGTGATAAACAACTTTCATCCATTAATGGTTTAACTTATTATGTGGTGATATATTTGTCCCCTCAGTCACTTTCTCTAGTGCTTAGCTTTGAAGTGCTTTCTGGGATACTCGGTTAAGGAGAAAAAAATAAAAAGGAAAGAAAAGGTTTATGTGACTCATCATTATTAACTTAAAAGCCCGTGTACGAAACGCCAATTAAGACAAGCTTGTTTGTTTTCCATACAAGTACTTAATGAACTGTCTTGAACTCTCTGTTTAAACCTAGACTTTGTGCCTGCAATAAGTTCATTTGAATATAGGTTTTTCAGGTTGGTGCTGCTTACAAAGTCCACATCTTGGTTATTCAAGTTCAAACTTCATAGCGTGTTATGTCATTTCAAAGTTGTACTTTTGTCAACAATGTAAGTCCATTGTTAAGGAATGTTGTTGTTTGTTCAAAAAGGTTAAAGACTTTTAGTTGTTATTAGTGAAATAGCTTTCGCAGGTTGATAATGGTATTAATTCTCTTGGTTGAATAATTTAAATGCTAGTTGGCTGCTTATAGCCGGAGGTGCAGTTCTAAGAATTTGTTGAATTGGTGGTTATTTGGAAAATATTACCAATTTTCTTAAAGTAAAAATGCATGTAGTGGTAAGTTTCTTCTTGTGCGTGATATTTAAACTGGAAAATCACATTGTCAGTGGTGCACCTTTTTTCAATGTGTGAATATTTTTAATTTGCAGAAGTATATGATCTGGTCATTTTCAATCATCAGAGTTTTCTTTTCCTGTGTTTAATGTTATATCTATGTCTGCTATCAAACTCAAATATCTTAAACTTCCAAGAACGACGACTTTTCTTTTCTTGGGAAGTTCATTATGAGAAATGGAAAATATTCTTTGTTGGTTTTCCTTCTCTTTGCACAGGGTTAATCTTAATAAGCTTTTATTAGTTTTGTATTTACCTAGGATACCTTTTTAAGATCGTGGGCCCTTAATCTAAACAATGAGATGAAGTTCCAGAGTTCTTCAAAAACTTAATTTACATGGAAAACTTCTGTTAATACCATCTTCGATCCCTGCATTGCTAAAGGTTGTGGTGACAGTGATCTTAGTCGAGTTATGTCAAGTTACAAAGAAAAGAATATGCAAACGAACTTGAAAATAGATTCTGTGGACGAAGCTCACTCAGATGCATTGTTTTAATAACTTATTTATAGACGTTGGTTGATTTTTACTTTGTAAAGAGATCACACAAAATTTCCCCTTATTTTTTTAAGAATAAATGCTAAAGTAGAAGTTGCAAAAAAAAAAAAAAAACACTAATAACACAATTAGAAGAATTCTGGGGAAAAAAAGAGTTGGTGCGGAATTAATGCGAGATAATCACGACTAATTGTTAGTTTTGTGTCAGCAATATTAATTAGAACAATTCCTTAAAAAAAAAAAGAACAAAAGACGAATTTAATGTATGCATGCAAAGCACTTGTTTTATTATTATTATTATTTTTCTTTTGGTTTCTTGATAACCAACACTATTACTATTCATTTGATATGTTTGTGTGTAGATTATCTAGAGCATGAAGTGACTGAATTTAGTGTCCCGTTTGTCATCATACACTGCTGGTTTGCAATCTTCACTCTGTCCTGGAGTAAGAAGTAAAAGTAGAATGTAAAATTACTAATAAGTTTACTATTCCCTTAAATCTGTCAAGAAGAAGTAAGTTCACGGTTACTTTTAGTTTACAGAGGCTCTCAAATGGTATGTCAATAATTTGGAACATCAATCTTTCTTCTATCTCTGAAGAAAGAATAAAGAAGCAATGACTTAGCTAGGTTATTAGGTCACTAGATAGATAATGGATTTATCGTTTTTAACTGGAAAGTCTTTAACGTTTGTAATCTGTTATGCATAATTGTCATCTTGACTCAGTCTTATTTTAGGTTTTGTTCGAGGCTAACCCTTGCATGGCCTATCATCTTTCTAACCACACCCTGAACAGCAAGCAGTTATAAACAGTAGCAAAACCGCCGTCTTGATAAAGCCAAGCTTACTCTATACCCTTATCGGCCACAAACACAACTTTTTAAATTTAAATTTTGAAACTCACACTGGAAAACTAGTCTTCCAACTTGACACCACCTGTTTCATTGCCAAGTAAGATTATCATGGATTCTCTTGACAGGTTATATGACTTCTACATTCTGCCATGTGGCATCATTCCTGTTATTCCACTCTATGTACATGAAGATTGTTGGGACCCACGAACTTCTCTTCTTTCAGAAAAGGGACCCACTTCATAGAGCATGTTGTCACTATTAAGGAAAGTGATTGATTAGATTTTCTTTATGGTATATTGTTATCCAAATTGAGTAGGTACATAGAAAACGTAATCTCAGCAGGTCCTGGTCTTGGTTCTTGAAAAATCGTAAAAAGTTAATTTTTCTTTGTTTTATTTATTTCCTTTGCTATCAGGACTTGTTGCAAGTTGGGAAATGCAATGTTTTAGAGTTTATTATATCTCTTCTTTTGTCATTCCTCGAGTTGATTTGCTTCTTTACATGCTGTCTTGATCAATTACTACACTGATGAAAATATGCACTTTAATGTTGCAAAAGAGATGGATAATCTGAAGAAAAAGAAAATTAAACATTTCGCATTTCCTCGACAGTGGCATAAACGTTAATTCACATATTCCAGATGTTAATTCTATAAGGTACCATGCTAAGCTCATGACAGTTTGAAAAGAAAATGTTTTTATCTACAACTCATTGGCTCCAAACCTGTCAATAAAGCTGCCATTTTTCATGCATAAGTAAGTTTGCCACATTGGCTTAAAGTAAATCTCTCTCCCCCCTTCTCTCTCTCTCTTGCCCCCACATAACTCCCCTAATTTCCAGTTTCAATCAATTAGAGTTTGCTGCTTTCATATCTCAATGGCCTTGTCCATTCTTAAAGAACTGCTTGAAGGATATCTGCAGTCATTGTTTGATGAGGTGATATCTTGTTGCCGACTGTCATATGGTTCTAGAGTGCTTGCTGTTTTGTTCTGGTTGTTGAATACTTCTAGGAGTCTTGATGTATGGGATTTCTGTTTGTTCTTGGGCTCTTTATTGGGTTTGTTTTTTTACATCGATGTGCCTGGGAAATCTTTAATACTTATTCGATATGGATTTTAATCAAGGGATATATAAATGCTTTCATCCAAAGGTTTACATTTTCTATGCATTTTTTATTTTATTTTTGCATGGGATGGAGCTGATAGTTTCATAAGTGTTTAGATGAAAATGCTTGTTTCGTTGGTAATCTAGGTTTATTCCATTTCTTCAGGGGGTCGTAAATGATCAGTTCTCACAGGTCCAGACTTTAAAGAGTGTCAACGGACCTGATTTTGTTGTGCAGTTAGTTGATACGTACTTTGCTGAGATGGAAACACTCTTAGCAGAACTTTCAAGCCACAGGTATACCTGTGTCTACTTGTATAATTATGTAGAGTTTTTGTTGTGTCAGCAAGTTTCATGATCTATACGTCCTGTCTGACTTGTGTTTCTTTATGTAGTGATTTACCGGCTCTCGACTTCTCCAAGTTGGCTGTGTTGGCTGGAAAAGTAAAGGATTTAAGCTCCTGGTAATTTGCCTTTTTTATTTTGTACGTTATCATTTGGATGCCTGAAAGATACAAATAAGTTCTGATAATTAGAACAAATTTGACCATTTTCCGTGGATCTTTATTTTTACTCTTCCACCGGAACAAAAACAAACTTATAAATCCTTGGTAAGCAACCATAATATAGAATATGTTACCTTTCATCCAAAATGATAAAGATTATAATAATTATGATAAACTCATATAATAATATTAATAATAAAAATAATAACATTAATAGGATGATTATTTATAACAATAAAACATTAATAGGAACAATAATACCATCATGACGCTGTAAGAACTCTCTTCACAAAATAAACTTGTATTGTTTAAAATTTTTATTTTTATGTTGAATGTTCTAGTTCCTTTGACATCAATTGATGATACATAAACACGAGATCATGGATGTTATTATTTGTGATAATATAAAAATGTTGGACACAAATCTATTCGCTAAAGTGCTTTGATGACTTTATCATTTGACTTTTCTAGTACTCTCTCAATCCAATTCTGTGGTATTAACTTTTTCCATTTTTCTTTCTCGGATTTAAGAAAAAAAGGAAGTTTGAATTGTTTTGGTTCTTGGAATCAAAATATAGTTTATGCCGTGCTGGGGTCTCTAGTTGGTCTACATTATATTGACCTTCAATTTTTGGTTCTCGTGTTGGACTCGACATGACGTGGATACCAGCAAGGGAATGTTCGGCGTGTAGTTGTTGTTGGAGATTGCTCACTAGGAGTGTATCAATGCTATTTTAAATGCCTTGTGTCGCCTTTTATGAGTACCGGTATGCAGCACGTGAGAAATATGGTGTAATCAAGATTATGCTAGAACTTAAGACATGAAATAGGATAGAGAGTGGAGCGAGAAATTCAGAGAGAAAGTGGAAATGGTGGGGCCACAGATGGAGGAGAGTAGAAAACAGTTGGAAAAAGTTACGGAGACGACATTTTTTCAGAGTTGGATAAATAGGCAATGAATTAGTTTAGTTGATGTACTATTTAATCCCCTTGAATATATTATAGCTTTCGTGCAACTTATAGCTTAAAGCTTTTTATTTTATTTATTTATTATTATTATTTTGGAGAAAGTAAGATCTGTTATCAAATACGGTTTTCTAAATAAGATCTGTTATCAAATATGTTCTTTTAACACGAGACCAAATTGGAGGAACATTCTCCAACCTAGTGAATTCATCAAACATAAAAGTAAATTGAGTAAATCTACTCCTGGAAAAAAGATGATAAACCATTTCCCCTTGCAATAAATAAACCAGTTTAAATGTTCCTTTTTAAAATAACCAATAGGCAGTTTTGGTTATTAGCACATATCTAGATTGCATGTATACAGTTGTTCTTTTTGTATCTAATTGCATGTGTACAGTTGTTCTTCTTAATATGATCCGTGTATTATGATAAATGGTGTGATATATATTTTATAGGCTCCTTAATTTCTTAGACAATTTGTATTTCAAATCTGATCTTAATTTTTCTATTTTTGGTTGCAGCATGGGTGCTGAACATGTGAGGCTTTCTTGTGCTAATCTCATTCAAGCTTGTGATCAAAAGAACAAACAAAAGTGGGGGGTTTTTTTTTTATAATTTATAATTTTTTTAATAATTAATTAATTAATTAATTAATATATATATATTTTTTTTGTGAATTGGACTTATGTTGGTCATAACATGCTACAAATACTAGCATTAACCTTGTAAGTTTCGAGCTCTTGTGTTATTATATTAGAACATTCTGGTCTAATATCAGTAACGAAAAGAAAAAAAAAAAAAGAATCTGATCCAATATGGGACCTACCCTTAATGGAAGCATGGTTCCTTTCTCTAAGCATTCCACCACATTATTATTATTGTTGTTGTATCTAAGAGAGATGGTTTCTACATTATAAGCTTTATGAAAGATTGATCAAGAAGCTCAATGACAGCTAGAGGAAGTCTAGTATGATGTTTATGTTTATGTTTGATGCCATGCATTTCCAAGGCTTGCCTAACGTACTTAACAAGACACTGTTTTGTTTCTGTGTCCTTAGTGATCTGTCGATATTCATTGATTCTTTAATGAGCCATCTGATATAGATACGTTCCCGTACTTAACAATATTCTGTGTTTTGTTTCTTTCCCTTTTCATGGTCTGTTGATATATTCATCAATCCTTTAATGAATCATGTGTACTTCATTGCTTATAGTAGGTTTACGGGCCTTATTTTTCTTAGCTTTGTTGGCAACGTTAATGTATTTTGAGATAAAGATCTCTTACTCATTCTTTCATGGAAATATCATTTCAGTTTCTCCCAAGCCCTAATTTGGATGAAGAACGAATTTAGTCAGACTCGTATTAAGCTTGAAGCCTATGCTCAGGTACTTGTCAATCTCGACTCTTTTTGTACTTTGCACTTGCAATATATGGTTTAATTTGGAAGGACCATGCATTTTCTTATTACTGAGCTTTGAAGAGAGGGGCAGAAAATTAATGCATAGGTAGCTCATGTAGCACACACAAGTAAGGATGAGTGATAACATATTCCATTAGACATGGCTACACTGCACCTAAATTTTACCTGTCATCATAAATATACCCATTTTAATTGCCCAGAAGGGTTGAATTTTGATAGTACTGCCTTAATAAATTTCTTCTCACTTTTGCTGCATAAGGCGCCCAAACCCAACCCCCCACACCAACCACAACCTTCCTTTTTTTTTTGTTAATCTCTGCCTAACTATGACAGTTTGCTAGATCGTGGGCACCGGTATAAGGTCACCTGATCGACTTGTAGCATTTTCTGCTCAATTAATTTATACGTTCCCGAATATTGGTCCTATATATAGACTTGAACAAAGATCTTGTTAGAGATTGATATCATTAATGGATTCTGTCAAGAAATGAATTTCTATGTTTGTTTCACAACTCAAGTTAACTTGAGTTGTGTATGTGAGAGAAAAACACTGTAACAAAAAGGTTAAATTTGAATTTTTATGAGAGAAAATATTATAGTAATAAAACTTGAGTTGTGAAATGAATAAGGATAATAATAATATTGAAATTATAAAATTATATAATATTTAATTATATTAATTGATAAGGACAGTAAAGAACGTAAGAAGAAAGAGT